CCTTGTGCTGTCCATCTTTCATAGCCTCTTCAGACTTCTCTTTGATTTTAAAACTCAACACTGGAAAGGATTACAATTTGAGTCCCCAGGGAATGTCCAAGAGACCTTTGTGAAGCGGTGCGAATAGAAGAGCAGACAGAGTTCTCGGGGAAAGAGGGGAAACACCGCTTTCTGAAGCATCTAGACGTAGATGGAGCCTGTGTTGAGGAACCATAGTTTCACATTTGATCTTTTTGTTTAGTGATGGTGTCTGCCACCGTGAAGCAGTGTGTGAATAATACCTGTGTCCGTAGAAATAGCTCTGCATGGACGTATAGAACTGCGTGCAAAACATGCCTGGAAGAAACCATAGAACAAAATCTGGAAAAATAAACTGGAGTAGGAGGAAAAACATGGAGAAAGCACAATTAAAGCCATCAGAAGAGAACAGGCTTCCTGATTGGATAGAGACTGGTGGGTCCGGTGGCACGGAAACTGTGGACCTTGGTCACCCCTCACGACTGGAGCTGAATTCACGCCCTGTGACCCAGTTTCTAGTGAAACACCAGGCAACAGGTCTGTAAGAGGAGCAGACACTAGTGAGGTGTGCACACCTAGAGAAGGGCGGCACTTCCCCTCGGGCTAAGTTCAGGAGGGTTGTGATGGAAAGAGGAAGGGAAGCAGGAAACCCAGGGAGGAAGTGTGATGAGTTGATGGTTCGGAGGGATGGCGACCAATGAGATGAGACCAACTGGATGTGAATGGTTGGATGTAAAACTGACCATCTGCTCTGCAAACCTGCACGCAGTCCCTACAGAAGGGTCTTTGTTTTTGCTTTTCAAGGATAAACTGGTAGTAGTGCTTACTTTTGGCAAAGGGAGAGGAGACAGGCTAGGGCTGTATTCAAAGTAGATGTTAGCCACAGCACGATGTTTTAATTTTTAACAAGGAGATTGTCTTCAAGCCTTACTTGTGAAATTAAATATTAAATATAACTGAAGAGGGCTCGGAGAACATCTGGCTGCTGACCTGGCCGTTTGGGCCTTATCTCTCCAGCACTGAAGGGAGCCCTTGGGGAAGGAACACAGCCCGGGATCTCCCAGAAGCCTCAGCCCAATGACCTCACCTTCCCCAAACCATTAGTCAGGTTAGAGCCTCACTGTCCCCCACCCTGATTCCAGAGGGCCTACCTTTGGACACGGATTGAACTTCAGAACTATTTTGCCCTGAGGAGGGGAATTCAAACGTGACTAAAATAGGTGCCCTGGTCACAGAGATTGCTCATGAATTTCACATAAGAGGAGGGTGGAGAAACATCCCGCCTGGGGACACAACATCCTTTCAATGACATTCAGACACCAGACAAATCCAGAACTGAGCAAACATCTCTCAAACATTAGGGCTGGACCTTTAAGCCAAGTCAGTGTCACAACTGACAGAAAGGTCGTGGAGCCTGTGCACTGGAGAGGGAAAGAGGTAGCAGAGGGGCATGGTGGGCCACTGGTAGCAGTCTCACCTTCCAGGAGGTAGGAGTCCCGACTCCCTGCCAGCACACCTCATGCACAGCCATCCCTTGTCTTTCACTGAAAGTTTGTTGTTATGATGCTGAACAGGTGTCACCAGAACTTCCAGACTAAGAAAGACTAGGAAGAGGGGCCTGGTGATCGCCTTCTGAACATGTGGGTCACCCTGAGTCAGGGACCCCTGGAACGGCAGCCAAAGAGAAAAGACAGGAGCTGCCAATCAAGACGTGAGATGGTATGGCCCCAGAATGTGGGGAAATTGCCACAAAAGGACCTATTGGGACAGTCAGCAGCACCCGGACATGGGTGGTACATGAGACCCTCGTATTGCCCTGCACCCATGCCAGCTCCTGGCATTTGGTAGTTGTACTGAGTGCTCATGTAGACACAGGGACGCCTCAATAGGCGGCCTGCTGCCAACTACTTACTAACTCCCAAGCGGTGGAAAATAGGAGTGGGCAACCCTTATTTTTGGTAAAAAGCCAGGTAGTGAATCTCTCAGGCTTCATGGGCCATACGGTGTCTGTCACAACTACTCACTCTGCTGTTGGAGCATGAGAACAGCCGTAGCCAATACGGAAATAACTGGGTGTGGCTGCGTGCCAATAAAACTTTATTTATGAACCCTGAAATTGGAATTTCATCTAGCTTTCACATGCCACAAATATCCTCCTTTTGCATCTTCTCAACGTTACCAAATGTAAATGCCTGGCGAAGCTGACTGCCGTATGATAGCAGGTGGTGGGCTGGGTTTGGCCTGCATGCTGTAGTTTACTGACTCTGATGGAGAACACCAGGCACACAGGTGCACACAGACAGGGAATGATAGTGTGTTGATTTGTGACTCCAGGTGGACGGTTGGAAAGAGAATGTACGGGTGGCATATGACCTTCGCCTTCACATGGAAAAAGGAGGCTCAAGAGCAGCCTCAGCTCAAGGCCAGTTCTTATGAGGCTGAGGTCAGACATGCCTCCTCTCTCCAACCTTCTTACCAGCTCTGACACCACTGTTCCCTCTAAGGTACTCTCCATGTCTCATTGCAGTGCCCAGCCAGAACTCAAAGATGATACTCAAAATTACCAGGTTTATTAGGGAAGTGTAACCGGTTAGATAATTCTTTTTTTTTTTTCACTGTAAAGTTTTATTATGCACACCCACGTCCCCATCGAGGCCTCTAGGGTCTGAGGGGACTCTGTCCCTGAGCCTGGGGTCAGATGTGGACCCTCGTGGACACGTGAGTTGTGGGAGAGGCGCCATCTAGTCCTCATAGGAGGGGCCCTCCAGTAGCGGCCAATTCAGGCAATGTCCCCATGGCAGCAGTTGCCCACCCCGTATGGAGGTAGTGCGTGAGGTCCCCTGCAGCCTTCAGGGAAGTCTCCGCTCTAACTGGCCGCTGGGGCCATTGTCTTCTGACACAGCCTGGCCAGGAGCCCCGCCATCTGTAGGAGGGCGTTCACGCCCCCTCTTCGAGCTTCAGGTGGGCGGGTTAGATAATTCTTTTAGAGGTCCCAGTAAACACCCAAGGGGCATAACTCTGAACCCAAAGGTACTCGGCTCTGGCTCCATGGGTCAGCAAACCCAGCTCCCTTATTAAACATCCAGAGGCACCCCACATCACAAGCCAGCCTCCTGCCCCAAAGCACTGTTTTACTGCTCTGTGGGCTGGAAGGTCCACTGCTCTCTCAGGCCCTGGCTCCTCGTCCTGCTGCTGTTGCTGCTGCTCTGCCCCTCCTCTGGTGTCAGCCATCTCCTGGATCAAAGGGGTCCACATGCAGGGTTCTTGATGTCCACTGGGCATGCCCCACTCCTGGCTCTTCTTTCTTGCTGATAATGATGGCTGATTTTGAGCAGGGCAGAATCACTCAGACCAAATCACATAATCCAGTCCGGATCTTCCCCTTCTCTCCCAGACCCATAAGGAAAACGAGGTTTGTCTGGTAGGAGTAACAAAGGCTATGACTGCAAGAGCCATATTAAATAATTGACTGCTTTGCAACACCCTGCTCCACCAGCAAGCCTCCTGCCTTTATTTTGCATGTACTCTACGATTTCACTAAGAGGCGATCTTAGGATAGTCTCAATTCTAATGACTCTCCAGTAGTAAGGCGAGGGACGGAGGTGGTCCTGTGTTCTCTACTCTTCTAGTTTGTCTGACTTTTTGCTTTGTTTTAAAAAAACAAACAAGAGGTTGAGTTCTCCACGTTTTTTCTCCCGTTCTATCCAGGACTAACCATCCGTCGTGGCCCCTGTCGGAATGGCCGGTGGTAGCCGAGCACCATGTCGTTCTGATTTTAGGGTGGACGGTGTTGTGGTTCATGTGGACTTGTTTCTTCTCTGCACTTTTCATGACCTTCTTACTGTTGGCTCCCAGTGAGTTGAGACCCATAGTTGTGTTGAAGATAGATAGCCACTTCACAAGCATTTAGACCCCACATGCTACTCACTTCACTAGGAAGCAGATCATGATGTTTGCGAACCATATGCCATTGACAGAGCTGTCACTGAGCTAACTGGTTTTAATATCAGGGTCTCCTTCCCCCGTATTGGTTTCTTTAAATTGGTGCCACTTGATGTCAGTGATCAGGACTCTAGAGGAGGTCTGTCATGGTGATCTGTTGAGAGGTGAGTGTGTCCCATTTTCCTAGCATTGAGACAAAATCTCTTGTATTTCTCCTGCCCATGTGGCCCTGCATGGTTATTTCCAGGAATGAGACTTTGAGTCTGTTGGAGTGGTTGCTTCTGGAGTAAGGGGGGTTGGCTGGAAGGGGAACAGAGGCATGTACTTTTCCTCAGTGACTCAGCGAGGACTCTTTTCATTGCCAGGATCAATTTATGTAACTGCTCAAGAGTGTTGGATCACAGTGCAGTCAGCTTGTTTAGTTGCAGGGCTTGAAATGATGCCCTGAGCCGAGTTCTGTCTCTCACCATCGCTCATTTCTGTTTTCTTCCACTTGGCCTCATTCTAGGGCAGCTTCTCCCGACCCTGAAGCCCACGTGAACCATCTACCAGATTAGGAATCCCAAGAGAAAGGGCATCTCTCCAAACCAACCAGTCCATCCCAGATCCCAGGACCGATTTGAATTGACCCTATTTGAACCATGTGTCCACCTCTGAACCAACCAAGTGATGAGGGATTAGAGGATATTGATTGGCCAAGACTGGGTCACATGACCACCCATGGCCAAGGGGGTACTGTCAGCACTACCCAAATGACCAGGACTGCGAGTTGGCCAGATGCATTCTGTTGTTGCCTTTGGGAGGAATGGAAGCGAGACAGATCACAAAGCAGTTACTTAGTAAAGACCACTGTGCACCATGCTGCCTGCCCTCCCCCATTCTAGCCCCAGTTTTAAGTTCACAGCATCTCAGCCACAGCCTGGGCAGTCTTCGCTGGAGCTCTTGAGCTATAAAACATGACCACAGTCGTCATGCCCCTTGTCCACAGCTCGCGGTGAAGAGTGGTCTGTCCTCCATGTCCTGTTGTGTCCACCCTGCAGGAAACACACAAGATCTACAAGCAGAAGCTGGAGGAGCTGACGGCCCTGCAGAGCCTGTGTAGCAGCTCCATCCACAAGCAGAAGAAGCGGCTGAAGGACTTGAAGCACACACTCCAGAGGTACGTGGGCTGCTGCTCCCAGACGGGGACAGAAAGCCCCCTCGAAACTGGCCTGAGCAGACGATGAGGATGTCTGTAGAATAAACCAGGGTCACTGGATCTGGAGGTCCAGGGGGTTTTTAGGAATCTTCTTCTTCTTTTTCTCTCTCTGAGTCCTACCTTCCTGTGGATTGGCTTCACTCTCAGGCCGGCTGTCCCCTCCCAGTGCCACCAGCAGTGTCAGGCTGTGTCCTCTATGCGGTCTTACTTCACCCTGACTCTGCCACCGGCAGGATGAGAACTTCTTTCCCAGTAGTTCTGGGTTCATGCCTCATTGGCTGGTAGTGGTCATCTGACAGCCTGCGAGCCAACTGTGGGGACTTTGGTTTCCCGAGGTTGGGTCATATGACCTCCCTAGATCTGGGGGTGGGACAGTCCTAGTGGAAACAGTGGGGGGAAGGATAAGAGGAAGTTTCCCAGAGGAAAGCTGGGCGCTGTTATAAGAAGCCTCTCTGCTTGGTAGATAAACAGCGGAGCTCCTCCTCGTGGGTTGGGGGGCGGGGATGTTGGCGTGCTCGGTGGGGCCATAATTGGGCGCATGACTCAGTTCACTCTTGATCTTGCTGTCTCGTGGTTCGGGACACTCTTTCCCTGCAGGGTCAGCGACACAGTACATGTCGTGACTCCCTAGGCAGTCAGGGAAACATCGTAGAGTGCCCCCCCCCCCCCAGTCACATAGGTGGGCTTCTGTCGCAGGGTTGGCCACTCCTGAGGCCCCTGCCCCTTCCCTGTGGAAGGGTACCGATTGGGGAACTGGAGGGCCATCAGCCAGGGAGTGGAGGGCCCAGAGAAGAGGATGTGGGTGGGCCTGTGTAAAGACATTCGCTGAAAAACCTTTCACAGCAAACAGGTTCCCACTTAATAATGACCACCCAGTTTGTTCAGAGGCATGGGCTGCGTTTGTCATCGTGTGACCACTGGCTCGTCATTTCTGTGCCCAGTTGTTCCATTTAAGACATCTACTCTTGGGACCCACGAGGCTCTGTTCACCCTCGGGGCTCTCCTTCTCGGATCCCTTGCTACGTGCGGCCAATGCTTCCTCGGTACAGGGGCTGTTCCACGCAGTGTGGAATGTTGAGCACCCTCCATGGCCTCGCCCCCTGGGTGCCAGTGGGACCCACCTCACTGGCTGTGAAAACCAAAGCTGTGCCCTGTGGGGACAGGGAGGGTACGATACCAGGATGGGAACCAGTGAGTCAGAGGTTGCATTAAGAGTCAGCTTCTTCACGGCAAGGACCCTCGCTATTCCAAGGGCGGGTCTGACCGACTCCCCCAGTCACAGAGTGAAATCTCACCCAGGACTCGCTAACAAACCAAGACTCGCTAACTGCTGCACTTGAGAACGCCTCCCTGCCTACTCTTGTGGCCATCTTCACGCCATTCCTTGGCAAAGGGCGGGAAGAATAGCTATTCCCAGCCAACACCAGTGAGCTGGCCCTGTGCACGAAGAGTCCTCTCTCGACGCTTCATCTCACGTCCAGTCCTCTCATCCTGACAATGGAGTGTCTGGGAGGTAGTCTGGGAGGCGTTACCCCTGTTTTGAGATTTGAAAAATAAGGTAGAAAAAGGTTCTTTTCCAAGGTCATAAAGCTAGCAAAGAGCCAGAATCAAACCTAGGGAGAACAGATGGAGGCCCCACAATCAAGCCCAGAGAGAACAGATGGAGGGGCCAGAGTCAGGCCCAGAGAGGACAGATGGAGAACCCAGGTTGCCAGAAACATTAGGATGGGGGAGAGAGTGGGGGTGGGCATGCCCCAGTACATCTAGATCCTCTTTCCAGTCTCACTCCTGCCCTGCTTCTCCTGTGCCCCTCCAGGTACAAGCGCCATGCCAGCCAAGAGGAGGCAGAGCTTATCCAGCAGATGGGCGCCAACATTAAGGAGCGGCAAGACATCTTCTTCGACATGGAGGCCTACCTGCCCAAGAAGAATGGGTAGGAGCCAGGGACTTACTACCTTCCTGCCTGGGCCTCGAACTCCCGGTCCCCCTACTGCCCACTCCCTGTGGGGACTCTGAGGCTGAGGGGAAAGAGGAGAGTGAGGGAAGGGAACAGAGGGTCAGTACCCCGGCATACCGTGCCCCAGACCATGAGGGGACTTCAGCCTCACCATGTGGAATGAGTGGGGCATTCCCAGGACGCCTCTTAGCAGGAAATGACTGAAGCACCTGCCACCTGACTGGCACCACCCTCAAGTCAAGAAGAAGGTCATTTACTCCCAGTGGGACACTGGTTTATTGAGGGCCCGCTGTATACAAGCCACTGTGCTGGGGGCTCTCAGTGTCCTCACAGCAAGCTGGTGTATCCTGACACAGGCTCTACGGGACAGCCCTTCCTCGCCTCCCCCAGCTTCTGGTGGCTCCAGGCGGTCCTGAGCACCAGGCTGTGTTACTCCATCTCTGCCTCTACATGGCTTCTTCCCTCTGTGCTCGGAGTCTCAAATCTCTCCTTGGCTTCATGGGGACACTGGCCATGGGATTCAGAGCCCACCCTAGATCCAGGGTGACGTCACCTGCAAGCTGATGCCCAAGTACATCTGCAAAGACCCTTTTCCCAGTGAGCTCACATGCACAGGTTCTGGGGGCGAGGATGCAGGTGTCTTTTGGAGGGGGACCCCACTCAACCCACCAGAAGGTTCTCACAGATCTTTCCTTCTAGGCTCTACTTAAACCTGGTCCTGGGCAACGTGAATGTGACCCTTCTCAGCAACCAGGCCAAGTACGTATGCCTGGACCCCAGCGTGTGGGGACTGGACAGAAATAAAAACACCTGAACAGTGGGGCTCAGGCTTTTGGGTCCTTGTGGCCCTTTCCTTCTCCACGGGGAGCTTTTTGGGGAGGTTTTCTTTCCTTTCAGAGCCAGTACACTGGGTGAACAGGATCCCCGTTTCCCATGAGAACAGCCCCCCTCAATTCCACGCCTTCCCTCATACTTCCCACAGGCGGTCTCACCCACCCTGAGTCAATCTGGCTTCAAGGGAAGTGGACCAAGGCGTTCTGTGAGAGTAGTGGGGTTGAAGACAGAGCCCCCCACCTCTCTGGCCCCCGGCTACCCTCCCTACAGGCCTAGAGCCCTGAGCCAGGAGTCTGGACACTTGGGAACCTTTGAGTAGTTGACCCTCATTCCCTAATTGAGCGTCAGCATTCATTTTTCTTGTTAAAACTTTTTATTGTGATCTACTGGAGAAAACGGAGGCTGTCTACTCCTGTCAAGATTGACAGCCTCTGAAACCCTAGGGGGCGATTCTCTCCCACCCAGGAGGGTCTGCAAGTCGGAATGGGCCTGGTGGCAGTGGGCATTTGTGAATCGGGTGAAAGTTGGCTGGATTTCTCCTTTGTGGGGTGGGAGAGTGGGGACGACTCAGGAGTCTGAGGGTGGGTGGGGCCATCACAGTGACGCGGTGCTTTGTGGGGGCAGGTTCGCCTATAAGGACGAGTACGAGAAGTTCAAACTGTACCTGACCATCATCCTGCTGCTTGGTGCTGTGGCGTGTCGGTTTGTCCTTCACTACAGGTAATGGTACAGGGGGGCCAGGGGTCATTTGGCTTGAAGGCCAGCAGCAAGAGGTCCAGGGTCTCTCCTGCCTCTGCAGTTTGTTGTGATCAGATGTGGGGTGGGAAAAGGGCCATTTCCCTACACTGTACGGCTATCCAGGAAGCATCTATTAAATGCTTCTGGAAAGATGTCGTGGTGACGAAGCAGCTCAGTGTGGTGGATCCATGCCTTAGCCACAAAGAGGAATGAAGTCCCTGTCCATGCTCGGACACAGATCAGCATGGAAACATTGTGCCACGTGGACAAACCAGTCACGGAAGGCCATGCGTTGTGGGATCCTGTTGGTCTGAATGTCCTGGAAGACAAGTCCATTCATAGAGAAAGTCGTCAGGTGGTAGAGGCAAGGGGAGCAAGGATTGACTATGCATGGACAAAGTGTTTTATTCTGGGTGATGAGAATGTGTGAAAATTAGGTCGAGGTTTTGGCTGTACAGGAGCCCTCGTGGCGCAGTGGTTATGCATTGGGCTCCCAACCACAGGTCAGCAGTTCGAAACCATCAGCCGCTCCAAGGGAGAAGGACGGGACTTTCTCCTCTTGTAAAAAGTTATAGCCTCAGAAACCCACAGGGACAGTTCAACCTGTCCTGTAGGGTCAGTATAAGTCGGCACTGGCTCGGTGGCAGTGAGTTGGTGAGATTTTGGTTGTGCCGCTACATGAATATACTGAAAAGCAACGAACTGTACACTTGGAAGGGTGAGCTTTATGGTATCTAAATTATATTTCAGTTTAAGAGAAAAAAAAGATTGCCGAGACAGCCTGGGTTTGAGTCCAAGCTTTGTCACTGCCCGAGGGCTCACAGGCAGTGTCCCCTGGGACCCTCCGTCTCCTCCTCTGTAAAAGGAGGGTGATGGTAGTGTACCTCACAGCCTATTGGTGGTAATGAACTGAACTGAGCCCCAACCCTCGGGGTGAGGGCCTGGCACGGGCCCTGGGTCCTGGTGGTGCCGCCGAGAACATTGATGGTTATTGTTGAAGCTGGCCGAGGCCGGGCTGCTCTGGAGGGTGAGGTGGTGGGGGATGTGGCACTCTCCCAGCAGGTTTCATTTCTCCCTCTGGCACCCACTTTTCTGCCTGGGGGATAGGGACCAAGGAGTAGAAGGCCAAGTACAGCGTGGGCATCTAGCCACGTGTCAAGAGTTCGTTTCCTGGCAGGCGCTTGGCCAGCAGTCCAGCTGCTGGTCTGCCCACTTGTATGCCCAAACAAAGGCTGCTTTCGGCCCTGGGCCCGTGCCTGCCTGCTGCCTTAGGCCTGGCACCTTCCCCTAGAGGGCAAAGGCTGTGGGACAGGAATGCCCTGCTCACGCGCCCCACTGGAAGGAGGCGAAAGTTCTCTCAATACGTAACCAGTTTTCCCTGATGCTGGGACTCCAGGGCCTTCCAAGGGCAAACTTGTGGGGTGTTGCCAAGTTCTAAGACTAAGAGGACTTGAAAAGTGCATGTGAATTGAGGGCCACGAGCTATGGAAATGATCCTAACCCCCAGGCCCTTCCAAAAGGGGGCCAGTAGTGGCAGAGTCCGTCAAGGGGATGTGAGGAGGACAGCAGAGGTCAGCATGGTGGCCAGCCGGGGAAGGTGGCAGCCTGCGGAAGCTGGAAGAGGCAGGAGGTGAATTCTCCTTGGGGTCCCCGGAACGAAGCTGCTGCTGACTTCCAGCCCTCTCCAAGGGCAGACGTCACTGCCCTTCACTACATGGGTGGCCGTGTGTCGCAGCCACAGTGGGAACCTCATACTCATCAGCAGCAGAACCCAGGCGGCACCTCCAGTACATCTCATTAGGGGACCAGGCCTCCCACTCTACAGATGGCAAGACTGAGGCCAGGGTGGGTCTCCATCAGGGGTCACAACACAGCCCGTCTGTCCAAAGGATGGTTTTTAAAGGTGCACCATACTCACAGATGATAGTCTTTTATTGTCTAAGCCGGTCTGAGCTAAAAGGTAACCTCAAGGCCTAGTTTTAATTCAAGGTTGAATATCTCAGGCCAACAGGCTCAGGGAGCCCTGCATTCTCTGCTGGTCCAGTTAGTTTGGATTTTATAAGGATTTGATGTCTTCTCCCATTCTCTCAGGCTGCTCTTACCGTGACCCCATCGGAATGGTTGGCCGTGTTAGCTAGGCACCATCCAGTTCTTCCAGGGTCTGGACTGACGAGGCCATGGCTCATGTGGACTTAGTCCTATAGACTAGTTCCTTCTTTGAGTCTGGTCTCCTTTCGCATACTCTTCGTGAGTACAGACCAATAGTTATATCGATAATGGCTGCTCATAAGCCATTATCGACCTCAGACGCTAATCACCAACTAGGATATAGCACATACAATATTCTATAGGATATAGAACATACAAGGTGGTGAACTATGATACGGCTACTGACCGAGATGTTCCGTGAGACCATCATCTCAAATGTAGAAAACCAATCTGGCCAAGCGTTTGCTCAGACCTCAAGAATTTACCGGGTTGCAGGGCGGTGGGTGTGGGCAGGGAAGGAGGGGGAACCTCAGCTTGAAGGGCAGGTAGGTTCTGGAAAGGAGCTTGAAGAGGGCGACTGTCCTTCGAGGGGAAGAGCAGCAAGCTCCCTGCCTTCCTGGCGGCCAGTTGAGGCATCCAGGGCCAGCATCTACCTGGGGAGACCTTGGTCGTGGGGTGGGGTGGGCTGCTGTCCCTGGTTCTCATGCTCACCCGCATTCCCGCCCCACGGGGCTGTTTGTCCACACAGGGTGACAGACGAAGTCTTCAACTTCCTGCTGGTGTGGTATTACTGCACCCTGACGATCCGGGAGAGCATTCTCATCAGCAATGGCTCGAGGTAGTGGGGCGTGTTCGAGGGGGCCGACTGTTGGGGAGGGGGCCAGGTCAAGGGCTGTCACCCTGCTTGGGGACCCAGGGCATCCATCCATGACTGCTCAGGTCCAGGACAGCTGCCTTGGGTCCTATTGTGACAGCGTCACTTGTGTGCGTTCAATCCGATTTAGCACCAATGGAAATGACTCTCTCCTCTCAAAGAACAAGCGGGCCCATTGGGTCCTGGCTTTAGATAAGGCTTGATGTAGATGCTCAGGGTTATCAGGAACCAGTTTCATTCCATCTCTCATCTCTGCCTTGGACTGTGTTGTCATTCTTCTCAGACTTCGTGTGGGCAGGGTGTGCGTGTGCGTGTGTGTTTGTGTGGGGGGGGGGGGCACCCAGCAGCCCCAGGATTGTCATTAGTATTTCCAGGAATGGGGGACATGTTTCTTCATCCTAAGAGTCTGGGTCCCTTTTGTACTGGCATAATCACAGGCTGGTCCTGGACCCAGTTACTGTGGCCAGAGAATGCTCTGCTGCGATTGGCCAGGTCTGAGCCCCACACCCTCCCTGATAGCTGTTGTTAGCTTGAAATTCCCCTCAAAAGCATAGAAGCAGCCGAGTATCAGGAGGCGGAGTGGGTCCCCAGAGGAAAACTGGGGTACTGTTAGGAGGGTGGATTCAGGGTAACAAGAGTGGGTGTCTCCCAAGGATTGGGTGGGCTCAGCTCGTGCACTGCAGCCCTCAGTGCTCATCACTTAGCCACTGTTCCTGAGCTTGTTGTCCCCACTCCTTCCCCCCTGTCCTTGGATAAATGCTGCCCTTAAGGTCACAAATGGTCAATTATTCTAACACGGCGATGAGTCCAGTCTGAAACATGAAGGGTAACTAAGGGCCATAGTCTTGGGGACCGGGGAGTCCTACCCAACCAGTAGGCCTGATCTCTTTTGAGTTGGGGTTTTGTTCCACACTTTTACTCCCACTCTCTCCAGGACCGTCTAATGTGATCCTTTTCAGAGCGGTTGGTGGTGGTAGCCGGGCACCACCTAGTTCTTCTGGTCTCCATGCTCTAGAGACAACGTCTGTGTGGTCCATCGGTCCATTGGACTCATTGCTTCCCTGTGTCTTGATTGTCATCACTCTTCTTCCTTCCAGCTGGGGAGAGACCAGAATGGTGATTGCACCATCTTTTAAGACCCGAGTCACTACTCAGCACAGTAGGAGGTAGAACAGTATCTTTGTGAGCTGTGTTATACCACCCCCCCCAAAAAAAAAAACAAAAAAACCTGACAAACTATGGTCTTGGGGCCCTGGGCCCAGCGACTCGTTCCTTCAAAGAGTTTGGTTACGTCTAAGAAGTTTTTGTGACGTTGCCCCTGTATGCTCCCCCACATTTGTGGGTCTATTAGCAGCAAAGATAAACACACATAGGCGAACATCCTCTGTGAAACCTATACATAGCGGGTATTTAAATGGAGAGAAAATGTTTTGAGAAACGATGTACAAATGTGCTTTACACAATTGATGTGTGTATGGATTGGGATAACAGTTGTATGAGCCCCTAATAAAATGTTAAAAAAAAAAAAAAAAAAAAAAAAGAAACCTATACATAGCTGCTTGCAAACTTCTACTCGCCCGCCCACGCCTGCTCAGCCAAGCATCTACTCATTGATCCCCACTGTTACAGGCTTGTGCCTATAACAGATACACTGCCTCTGTTGCCTTTACCTCTGGCAAAACCCCCAGTGTCTTCTCTTGCCTCCAACATTCTTTGCTGCCCCCACCCTCTTTTACTGTATAGTGCCTTCCCCTTCACCCCGGTCAACACCTGTCTACACGCTAGCCCATAGGTTCCCGCACTTGTTTGGCGTACCATCCCCCTTTCAGAAACAGCATTACACAGCTGGCCATTTAAGACCTCCATACTGCAGTCCATCTTTTAGTATCAAGTATCAACCTACCTTTTTGGCCCTCCTGGGTCATTCTGTGGCCCCCAGGGCGTGGGCAATGTCACCTCTGGGAAACTCTGGGCTAGCTGGTGGCTTCCTCTCCCTCCTTTCTCCTCTCACCCCTGGCAGCCATCACGGGATGTTTCTTTTGGTGGGAAAACCTTCTCTTGATGTTTTACAAGAATTGCCTCCCATAATATGTGCCCTGTTGTGGTTGACAGATTTCCCTCGGCTCCCTGTCCTCCAGGTTAGGTTCATCGTATCGTGGATGGCTCCCAGCTCGAGGACTATTCCTTAGCGCTGCGTGGTGGTCCATTGTGTACCCCGGTGATTCTTTCTTTATCCATTCTTCCACTCGTAGGCATTGCAGTGCTTTCCAGCTCTGTGCCTCTTATCTAGTGACGCCATGGCGCCTGTTTCTCTCGGACGCGTGCGATGGAGTGTCTGCTGGGTCAGTATGGTGTGTCCTTTCACAGCTTCCTGAGGAAGAAGCTGCACCACACACTGTTAGCCACACCCATGGGCCCCCAGCACAGCCATTTCTTTGCAATTCAAGTTTTGAATCGCTTTTTTTTTAACTAATGTAAACATTTTAGGGGGCGGGGTGGGGTGGGGGAAGAGCACTGGTTTCACCGCCATCTGTAAGGCCAGTATCACTTTGTCGGGGCAGGGGGAGAAGAAAGTGAAATGACCCTTTCCTCCTTCTTTCTCCTGCTGGACTCATGGGAACCCTTTTAAGACAAAGTCATTTTCTGCTTTGAATTGTTATTGTGGTTCTTGAAACTGTGTTTTTAGTCATGGCAGGCATTTTTAATGGAATGTGAACACGATTCGTGGGACATGTATGCTCCCAGGACTCGTATGCTTCAGTGGTGGGGTGGTGGGATGAGGCCGTGTTCACTCCGTTACTCAAGTAGCAGCATGCCCTGAAATGGGACAACAGCTGCCCACTAAATCCCAGGCCAGACAATGTCAGTGGTCACGTGAGAGTTGAGAGTGTTCAGGGGACAGCATGCCGATTCTCTTCAGGAAGAGCTACCGTGCTCAGCCCTTTTTCTAGTCCGATAAATTGAGGGTTGAGGTTGTAGGACTTGCTATAAAGAATGAAATAAGACTGAGTTGGGGGGTGGTCCCTGGAAGACTGGGCCCCCAAGGAAGATGGCGAGGGGCACTCAGTGGGGAAGAACAGGCCTTTAGAACCGAGTCTCACCTGCCTCCCAGAAGGGCCGTCCCTGAGCCTGTCATTCCCAGCACTGCGTGTGGTACCTGCACATTCACTGACCATCTCCTGAGTGCAGCACCGGGCGGGGATGCAGAGAATCCAGCCTTTGTCTTCAGGGAATGCACTGCCCAGAGTCTCTTCAGGCCCAGAGGCCTTTTTCAGAAGCTCAAGGAGCACAGGTTGGGGTGGCAGGCTCCAGGCTGGCTCAGCACTGGGGCAGGTGAAAGGCTTCCAGTGGCCTGGAGGCAGGGCAGGCTTCTGGGGTGCCCACCAAAGCTGTGGCTAGCTTGTGGGGTGTTAAGGAAGAGGGGAAGGGAAGTGTAAAGTAGTCCGACATAGGCACAGACTTGTGACTCATCTCATTCTTTCCTGGAGACCATCTCCATGCCCAGCCTCTCCTCAGAGCCGAGTTCTCCTGGGGCAGGCAGGGTGCCTCCGAGTCCGCCCTGCCCAGCCCAGGACAGGAAGGAGCAGCTGGGAGGGGCACTGCCTCAACTCTAAAGCATCCAGGGCAGCTCAGGTTGGTCCCCAGCAGTCACCTATAGCAGTGGTTGTCAACCTTCCTCATGCCACGACCCTTTCATAGGGCTCCTCACGTTGTGGTGACCCCCCAACCATAACATTATTTTCGTGGCTACTTCATCACCGTCGTTTTGCTACTGTGATGAATCAGGCGACCCCCGGGAAAGGAGTCTTGACCCACAGGTTGAGAACCGCTGCCGTAGAGCTTCTGTTGACATGAATGGAGCCCCAGGGCTGGACTGAGGCCAGCCCCCTGAGCCACACTGGACTTCGCACAATAGTGGTGCTGAGAGGGGATTTGACTGGGCTTCCTGCCCGTTTCCACTTAACCCTGACGCCTGGACTGGGGTGGGCCGGAGTCTGGGAGGTGCCTCCCCAGGATAAAGTGGGTCCCGTGGTGGTGTCTGAGGTCCCTGAGATGAGGCGCTGTAGCTCCTTTATACACCAGTGTTTTTGCAGATGTTGCAAATGACAAGAAGCCACCCCATTGGCCTTAAACAAGAAGGGCGCTCCCTGTGTGTGTGCGTGGGCCTGGGAGGTTCGCTGGGCAGTCCGAGGGGCCTCACTGCCCCTCCTCTCCCCACCCTGGTCTTCCTCCACCAGCTAGAATCTTGAGCCAGGTTTCTCATTGCCTTGGTCAGTCACAGTGACCAGTGAGGTGCAGAGTTTTCTTGATTGTCCAGCCCTAAGTCATGTGCTCAAGGAGCCCTGGTGGCAGAGTGGTTAAGCATTGGGCTGCTAACTACAAGGTCAGCAGTTTGAAACCACCAGCTGTTCTGAGGGAGAAAGATGGGGCTTTTTACTCCCGTAAAGAGTTAGCAGTCGCGGAAACCCACGGGTTTCTTTGCCCTGTAGGGTTGGTCTGAGGCAGGATCAACTTGATGGCAGTGAGTTTGAGTTTGAGTACATGTGCCTGATGTTAGCGCTCTCAGCTCTCTCCCCCACCCCACCCCCCAAGTGTGGCATGGGGGTGAGGGGATTCCTCCCGAGAAACCAGGGTCCCAGCGCTGTAAGGGGGGGAGGTGACTGAGGGACGGACACAGTGAGGCGGGTGCTTCTGTTGGCTGTTGTAGGGAGGCTGGCCCCCGCGGCTTGGGAGAGGCTTTCCCACTTCCTGTCCTCAGTGTGGAGGCAGCAGCCAAGGTGCTCCTTCTAGGCAGGAGGGTGAGACTTTATTTTACAGAGTTTGCAGACTGTCCGGAGAGCAGTCCTCGGGGAAGGCCATCATGCTTGGTAAAGTGGATGGATTGACACAGTGGCCACCAGCAAAGGGCTCAGGCACCGGGACCATTGAGGATGGAGCAGCACCGGGCAGGGTTTTGTTCTGTTGTGCATGAGGTTGCTCTGGGTCACAGCACCACACAACAACCTGCAGAGACTGGGTTCAGTTCCCAGCCAGTGCGTCTTTTATTTAAAAATTACTGGTTGAAAATGATGAGGGCAATGGATGTGCAAATGTGCTTTACACAGTTGATGTATGTATGTATTGTGATGAGTTATATGAGCCCCTAATAAAATGATTTTTAAAAAAGCTTCCTTAATAAAACATTAAATCCTGGGGAAAAAAGTTTACTGGAGGCTCATACAACTCTTATCACAATCCATACATATATCCATTGTGTCAAGCACATTTGTACATTTGTTGCCATCATCATTCTCAAAACATTTTCTTTCTTCTTGAGCCCTTGGTATCAGCTCCTCATTTTTTCCCCTCCCTCACTCACTGACCCACCCTTCTTCATGAATCCTTGATAATTTATAAATTTTTTTTTCATGTCTTACACTGACCGATATCTCCCTTCACCCACTTTTCTCTTGTCCACCCCCCTGGGAGGGGGTTATATGTAGATCCTTGTAATCGGTTCCCCCTTTCTCCTACCACCTTCCCCTTCCCCTCCTGGTATGGCTACTCTCAATGTCGGTCCTGAGTGATTTATCTGTCCTGGATTCCCTGTGTTTCCAGCTCTGATCTGCTCCAGCCAGTGTGCATCTTGTGTGTAGCTTCCACATGTCGGTCACACTCGTCTGTCGGGAGACGTGTATTGCTGTGATGTTGAATAAATTTCCACAAGCTTCAAGACAGAGAAAGCTAGGGAGAAAAGCCTGGCACTCTCCCTTCAAAATCAGCCTGGAGAAGCCTATAGGTCACATGGGCCTGATCGGCAACCCGTCAGGTGGCTGGTGCAGAGCCCAGTGATGCATTGATCCGCCATGAGTCGGCAGCCACTTTGATGGCGGCAACAGCAGTTTGTTGGGTAGGGGTGGCAGGCACTGGGGTCCCTCAGAGCATAGCCATTTCTTCGCCTGTGCAGGTAACACAAAGCACAAGCCAGGACCGGCTTCAGGTGTCATGGAGGGCCGTGGATTATCTTCTCCAGGCACAGTTCCCAGGCACCTGTCCCTGAATCCTGGCCACTCTCTTCCCCCCTGCCCATAAAGCAGAGCCTGCAGCCCCTGAAGCTTGGGTGAGGAGCATGGCATCTGGACTCCATCAGCTCACAGATACCCTGGCGCCGGGGGTTGGGGGCATTCAGATGGGCGTGCGGCTCCATCCTCGATGGCATCTGTCGGAGCAGCTCTGGGTACTGCAGGCTCTGCCATGAAAAGCTGCTGCTGCGCCAGCTAGCTGCCCAGTATCCGATTGTCAAGGCCGAGTCCCCCAAGGGCGAGGGCCCAGCCTGGAGGAGCCCTGGGAAGCAGGGCAAAGGGGACAGGCAGAGTGGGGCTTCCCAGACAGGAGACCGACGTGTGACCGTGCACAGTCCCAGGAGTCTCCCCAGAGACCTCTTGATTGCAAGTCAAGCTGAGTCAGGAACCTGGGCCAACTGCTTGTGCTGGGCAGAAGACTGCTCTTTGACAGGCCTGAGGGTGGGGTGGGTAGAGACTGAGGGACAAAGCAGCGATGGACGGACGTCTTAGCTTGTCACCATGAGGACCTGCTATCACCTGTAAAAATCTCCTGTCACCTTCATGCTGGTGCCACTGGGCCTGCTACAGCCCTCAGCAGCCATGCCTCCTCGACTGTCACTGTGCACATCTGGGGGGTGCCTGTCACTCACACGGTGTAAGTGGCACTGCTAGCGCTGGCAGTACAGACCTGACCCCCTCTCTCTCCCAGGGGCACTCACAGGCCGAGGGCTTCAGTGATGGTCTGGGCCGTGCGCGAGGGCCGAGAGGCAAGGGCCTTGACTGCCGTCCCCACAGTGTAACAGCACTCTTCCCGCATCTGCTGTGCTGCCCTTGGGCGCTCCTCCCCGCCCGCCCTGCCTTCTGAGCTCTGTCCCTAGGCAGTGCTGTCCCCACCCTCGGGCCCGAGGGGGAGCCTGTTCTGAGGAGGGCAGGGAGACGCCATGCTATCTCTCGCTCAGGAGGCACCGAGGGCCTCTCTTCCAGGGTCAGAGGTTCGGGCTAGACGGTCCTACGACCACTGAAAGCCACTTTTCACTCAGGCGACACAAGAAAAAGCTCAGCACACTAATTTTCAACTGCTAAGATTGGCAGACGCGTAGGGTTGGAGTTTGGTGTTGGCTGAGGGTCTGGGGAAGCCAGTGGAATGGAAGGTGGCCACCCTGCTTCTCGGCCGCCCCCTGGCACAGGGACGTCACTGCCACATGGAGGGAGACAGTAAGAGCTGGCGAGGGTCAGGTATCATTCAAGAGGACAGAGGCAACAGACCTGTAGGTACGGACCTGGCCGTCAGGGCAGAAAAGCAAGTTGCAGGGACGTCTTCCCTGCCACAGCTCATCTCGTCTCCCGAACCAGCACCTCCTCGGGGGCCCTCCCTTTTCCGACTGGCAGCCCTGCTCCGGGAGGGAGCGAGGGAGCCAGGCCAGAAGCAGGCTCGGGCTCTGAAGGTTAAAGGTCTGAGGCCCCTCCTCCTCCCCTCCTCAGGAGGGTGAGGACCAGCACACCTGTCTGGGGGGCAAAGCCTCTAGCTGGAGGTCCATGGAGCTCTGAGGGAACAGGGTCCCCCCAGCCTCTGGACTGGGCCAGTGGGTCTGGGGCAGGGCTCCCAGGGTGAAGTCACACCAGGGCTAGTGCCAGGTGAAGGGTGCCTGTCTCCGCTAGGCTCGAGGAGCTGTGTATGTGTGTGTTTTCACGCGTTCACTCTGCACACTGACTGTGCACCTGTCCTGTGTCAGGCGCCGCAGACACATTAGTGACAAGACAAGGCCCCTGATTGTCTGGAATGTACATGTGTGTGGGAGGAGGGAGCCCCGGTAACAGGCGAATTACACATAGAACAAGTCATGTTTAAGTGAAACAGAGTAACTCCAGCCCTGTGAGGAAAGGGAGCCGGTGCTGTGGTGTGCATGGGGCGGGGGGCTTCGGGACTGTGGCTGCTTCAGAGGAGGCGGCCCCTTTGAGGAGGTGACATTGGATCTGAAACTTGCCTTCTGAGCAGGAGCCAGCAGGTACCCATGCCCTGAGGTGGCAGCAGGCTTGGCAGGTCCAAGGAACAGAAGGACCGGGTGCCCGAGCACTTAGCATGGGGGCACAGGGAGTGGGGCGAGGCCGGGAGGAGCTTGGGACTCACTTGGAAGGGCAGCAGGAAGCCCCTGGAGGTCCGAGAGTGTCTGTGTGTCTGTTGAGTGGGTTAATCTACACCTGGTGTGTGAGGTCAAGTGACCAGTTGGGTGGAGTCTGTTCTAACGCGTGGCACCCCGTGTGGGGTAGAATAGAATTGCACGCACAGGGCTTTCCAGAGCTGGGTTCTCTGAAGTGGACCACCAGGCCTTTCTTCGACGTTCCTGTGGGAGGGAGCACTGGGACCTTCACTGTTGAAGGAGGTTAGCGGTTTGCACCCCAGGACACTGAGAAAGGCAAGATAATGGCTTGATGACACCCCCCCCCCTTATCTTGCCCAAGAAACAGCTTCTCTGCCACCACTGAAACCCCTGTACGGTTTACCCCTCAGGGGCCCCAGGGTGCCTCCCGCTGCTTTCCCCACTCCTGACCTCTCCCCTCTCCCAGGATCAAAGGCTGGTGGGTGTCTCACCACTACGTGTCCACATTCCTGTCAGGCGTGATGTTGACTTGGTGAGTGCCACCTCCTCCTGCCCAGCCCCAGGGACCTGTGTTTGTGGGGGGGGGGGGGGGGAGCAGGAGCGGGCAGGGACCCACAGGTAGGGGCCTGTGAGTTTGCCGCCGGGCCAGGGGCTGGGTACAGGGACCCGGCTGGCTGAGGAGGCGACGGCATTTTGGGGGCGGTTCTCAAGGGCAGAAGTTACTGAAAGTTATGGCTGGTGATTGAGTGTGCACTACCCCCTGGAGCATCCTTGTGCAAGGGCCGGCAGAGGGACGGGCAGTCGGCTGGGCACGTGGCTTCGGGAGGACAGTGGCTGCCCCTCAAGGCTCTGATGGGAAGAAGGGGACCCTGGGTTGGAGGAGAAGGCAGAGTCGTTGCCTGGGGCGTGCTCAGCTGCACGTCTTCTCAGCAGCCACAGCTTGAAACCAGGCCGAGCTCACCCTCCACTCGACTGGAAGCCTCCTTCTGTGGTGGGGCTGGTGTGGGGACGGGGCGGGTGTGGAGACGGGGCGGGTGGTCCCTAACTTCTGATCCACAGCCACCTCAGCTTGGCCTTTCCACCTTCTCTCCAGGCCCAACGGACTCATTTACCAGAAGTTCCGCAATCAGTTCCTCGCGTTTTCCATTTTCCAGAGTGAGTGTCTGCTTGGGTCTGGGGCAAGAGGCAGGGGCTGCTGTGACATTCACTGATGGCATTCACTGACAGGAGCCCTTTGTGAGTGGGGGGGGCGGCGGGGGGGGCTATCCCCAGGTGACCCCAGGGGGAAAGCCTCAGCCTGGGGTTGGGAAGAATGTGAGGAAATCCAGAGAAGAGTTATTTTCTCCCTCAGATCAACTCTTACCTGCCCACCTCCAGCCCCTGCCCCAGGTTCCAAGTAGCCCAGGTGGGCCTTCAGGCACACAGTGGGCTCGGGCACCCCCTTTGTCTTCCAGCTTCAGTAGGGGAGGGTGAGAGTGGGAGTTGGGTCTAACCCCTTAGGGATGGCCCTTCTAGTTGACCTGTGTCCTGCCAGATACTTTGACCATACGCATACTTACATGCGTACATATAACCTGTGTTAGGTATACTTTGGTGATACTTGTACATATCTGCGTAGGTATAACCTGTGTAAGGTATACTTTGACCGCACGCATACTTACATGCGTAGGTATAACCTGTGTAAGGTATACTTTGACCGCACGCATACTTACGTGCGTACGTATAACCTGTGTAAGGTATACTTTGACCGCACGCATACTTACG